AAAAGACCGAATTAATCACATAGCGCAGGTTTTATCTGAAGGGAATATTCCAAAAGAAAACCGTGGTGGAGATCACATGTCCGCTAAATCTGTTGCAAAAAAGTTAATGTAGAAGAATTCATTGGAAACCTAAAAGGAAAGGAAAGTCACTATAATAGAGAAAAGTCGAAAAGGATTTATTTAGATGCTAACTTAAACATAAAAAAATTGCGCAACATGTATCAAAGTCAGTGCAATGTTGAGCATAAAGTTAACTTTTCTATGTTTAGAAAAATATTCGAGAATGACTTTAATATTGGCTTTTCTAGTCCAGCCACCGATATTTGCGCAAAATGTACTAGGCTTAAATACTTGACCAAAAGTGAAGTTGATACAGAAAAGAAAAGGGGGTTACAAATCGAACTTACAATTTAAAAAAAGAGGGCTAATGCTTTTTATAGGCTCTTAAGAACCCTAACAATTCAATTACTTTTTGCTTTAATTTTCAACAAATTCAGCCTTTGCCCAAAACCCCAATTAACGATGAGTTTTATGCGCAAAAAGTTAGCATGTATATTTTTTGTTGCGTGGACAGTCAATTCAAAAAACCAACTTTTTTTACTTGGACGGAAGATATGGCAGGAAGAGGACCAATCGAGGTAGGATCTGCACTTTTAAGTTATTTGGATTCATTGAATTATGACGATATCACCACAGTTCGTCTATTCTGCGACGGATGCGGAGGACAAAATAAAAATAATCATATTTTGCACACTCTATACTTCTGGCTTAGATTTAAAGCACCAATAAAAGTTACAAAATTACAAATAGTTTTTCCAATAATGGGTCATTCCTTCCTACCAGCCGATAGAGTATTTGGGCGGGTGGAAAAACTTCTAAGAAAACAAGCTACAATCCTTTCAAGAAAGCATTATGAAGAAATTTACGAAAAAGTTGGAATAGTAAAAAGACTAGGCATTGACTGGAGACGTTTTGATGTAAAAACACTCTAAGTGGGTTTAAAAAAGGTTAAAGGGCTATCAGAAATGAAAAGAGTAGTTTTTTTAAAAATTTAACGATGTAGCGTTGATTAAAATATGCGCATTTGAAAACTTTTACAACTGCTCAGGAACAGAAAAGTTTGAAAAATTGATGAAGCCTAAGTTTTCGGATCTAGATTTAACAATATTGGAAAAAGATACCAAACGGGGCATTCCAGAGAAAAAAAAATCTCTTCAGCATTTGCTAAATCAGCAATTTGGTCTGAATTGGGAGAAGTCAGAGGATCTGCAATGGTATCGGACATTACTTCAGGAAATACATTACCCGATAAAGAGGGGGATCCCATTGTTGAACCGGAAGGTATATGCGACTGTCTTGAAGAGGAAGTGGCTGTTCATATTTAGTTTTTTTTTTAATAAAATGTTTTGTCCAAACTCTTTCTGTGTTAACTGTATGCTCTTGTTATATCATATTCACTGTTTTGTTTTGTTTTGTGCTATGAATAAAATATCTATATAATCGTGTATGTTATTTATTTCTATTATCACTGTATTGATAAGGATAAAATAAAATCAATTTTTATTTTTTTAACACGCCTGTCTTATAAAGCCACAAAAACTTATTTTTCAAGCAAAAACCGATAAATTAAAAAAAAAAAACAAAAAATAAAAACACAAAAAATACAACGACCACGAAATTTTGGGACAATCAAAGACAACTCAAAAAGAGCAAAACCCTTTAATAATTTTTTTAAAATACCTAGCGGATTCCGCAGTATATGTTTTTGACCAATATCTCAAAATCAGTAAAACTGGATTTATCGGCATTTGCGTATTTGCTCCACATTTATAATAACCATTTTCTGTTCCTCATTGTTATTGTCCAGTCCACAATCTGGTGGATCAGACAACACCAATATGAAATAGAAAATGATTATAAATACTCTCGAGTGAGATGAAAAATGCCCATAGAGTCGCATTTCAAGCCTATTGACAAGCATTCTACACCACTCCAATTCTTTGATTAAAACGGACCATGTTAGAAAGATAAACGTCTACAAACAAGATGGCAATAAACTGTATAAATATGACAAGCAAACTGTGTCATTCACGTAGCGTCGGTCGGCGCCAGTTATCCTCTCAAGGATTGTTTCTGTTTCTGCGGTCTCATGGCCTTATCGTATATCAAAATCACGTAATTTTAGTCCTTGGAGGCGTGCGAATGTCATCCAATACGAACATACAAACTGCTGAGAATTGGATAAAAATGAGGATATAATGTCAAGGTTAAACGAAAGCTCCAACTGGTGCCGACTTCCTCGATTATTTAATACTCTCTAGGGAAAAATCTTTGTTGTATGTAGGTTACAGTAATAGTTGGAAATACAGAAAATGCTATCTTTTACTAGTTACTACTAGCAATTACTTAATCTATTAGGAAATGTTATATGTGAACAGGATTTAAAAATTTTACTAGTAAATCTTGGAAAAGCTAATAAAAACCACATTTACTGACGATAGCTAGTAAAAGTAATTTCATAATTGCAAAATCTTTATTTAGTTAACATTAACGAAAAACCAAAAAATATTACACTTTTGCGAAACTCGATCTTATTTAAGTTTTTCAAAAAATCTAGTCGGTCTTCATTTGATTTAAAAAATATTAAGTAAATCGAGACAAATAACTAGATATTGTCACGCTAAACAAATATCACCCTATATATAAAATATACATTTTGTATTTTAATATACATTCGTTAAATAATTCAGCATAATATTTTATGTAATATTTTGATAAACAATAGATGCAATTTATAACTGCATTCTCGAAAATATAAATATAGCATTAAACTAGACACGTACTGACCTAAATCGATTAATATAAAATCGGCTGGATGAACAATATATAATGACACTCTTGGTCGGAATCCCATCCTAGACTCTCTGCCGGAGTCTCATCCGATACTTTTAGTTTGAGTATCATCGTTTTGCATCCCAATAAAAGAAGTGACGTGACGTGCCCTCGTCGCCCTTGGTAAGACCCTTTTCATATTATTGTAACTTTGTGGATATATTATTTTATCTTTAATAAATTGTTAGTTGTTGTTATGCTTATTTCCCCGAGTCAGGTAGCACATAGAGTCACTATTTAAAGTGACTCCCTCACGTCCGAAAGGCCCGTGACAATATTACGATATTAGGTATAAACTAGTATGAAGATATATATACTTGGCATTTTATATTATACTCACAGTTTAACAGACCTCCATATATTCCTCAGTAATAGCATAATCGCCCTAGGGATTGTTAACATTTACGCTCTTGTTCACTGATGATATTTGTGAAACAGTTTTAAAATTGACAAATGTTAGAATAGAAATAGAGAGGGCTAAGTATGAAAATCAAAATTCACCAACGCTTAGGGATCTTAATATGATTGAACTATATGCTGTTTACGGCAGCGTTTAAATCTAATAAAAAAAACTTAGATACAATATTTGCTACCAACGGAACTGGCAGGAAAATTATAAGGTGCATTAAGTCTAAAGAAAGATGTGCTTTTCTTCTAACATGTTTGAGGTCTGACAATCCAGAAACCAGGGATGTCAGGAAAGCAGTAAATCCATCCGCTTCAGTACCAGAAATATTTGAAATTTTTATCAAAAACTGTCAGACTTGTTATTCAATTTATAGGCAAATCAGCACGCGGCGAAGAAATGCTTGTAGGATTTAGAGATCGGTGCTGTTTCAAAATGTATATCCCAAATAAGCCTGAAAGATATGGGATAAAGATTATGTGTTGCACTGATGCCAAAACTAATTATCTTTTGAATGCTTATATCTATACTGGTAAAAATTATGATGGGAATGGACTATCAGATGACGAAAAGAAATTCAATATACCTACACAGGCCGTATTACGACTTATAAAATCACTTTTTGGTTCAAATAGGTCAGTAACTTCGGTAAAGTTAGTCCAAGCTATGACACAAAGAGGATTAACTTGTATTGGTACGCTGAAGAAGAACAAAAAATAAATACCTGTTATTTTTCTATCAACAAGAAAACGCGAAGTAGGAACAACTCTATACGGCTATACAAAGGATATCACTTTGGTTTCGTACACAACAAAAATCAATAAGGCTGTCCTACTGCTCTCGTCTTTCCACCTTCATGCCAGTGTAGACGCACTAACCAACGAACCTGATATTATTGCTGATTACAACAGCACCAAAGGTGGTGTCGACACGTTAGATAAAAAATGTAGCAAGTTTAGTTGTAGTCGTCGAACATGTCGCTGGTCTATGGCACTGTTTTTCAGACTCTTTGACATTAGCACAGTGAATGCTTATACACTTTACGAATCTTACAGAAATAATACTCATCTAGAACGGTCAAAATTTATCCAAAAATTAGCATTTCTTCTTGTGGAAGCACATCTCAAAAGAAGACTGGCGAGCTCGTTTCTACTAACTAAAATTGAGCATATGTGAAATCTTGAGCGTTGAAGAAGTAAACCGACCCTTAGAAATGCGAGTTGAAAAGTTAGAAAAAAGCAAAGACTGCTCACTTTGCCATTATAAGAAGAAGAGAAGAACGTCCTGTTTGCTACAATTGCCAAAGGCCAATATGTTTGGAGTGTGCTAAAAAAATGTGCAAGGGTGTAACGAAAAAGCCCAACTTTAGGCTTTGTAATTTCGTGAAACACGTCTCTCAGACGGTCTGTTATTGTAGGTATAACTAATTTAATGTGTTAGTACTTAAGGGTTAAAGCAGTTGATAATCCCTAAATAATTCAAAAAATAGAACTTCATTGAAACTTTAAATTGCTTATAACTCATAAACTTATTTTTTGACTTAATGCCTTTTGCTTGTAAGCTTACACATCACTGCACTCGTCAAAATATCGAGAACCCAATACCCCTGATGAATGGGTATCATCTTGATATCAAATTTCTCAAACTCACCTCAGATAACCTTTTTACTGAAAATTATGTTAGTGTTTTTTGTTTGTTTCAGGCTTTCACATGGCCCCGAAGTTAAGCGAAATATTTCCCGAATCGTGCCTATTGATTTTCGTCGGAGTGGCTATAGGCGTCATCTTGGTCCACATCACTGACAGCGTCCACATGTCACCGTTGACGCCAGATACGTTCTTCTTCTACATGCTTCCGCCGATCATCCTGGATGCTGGTTACTTCATGCCTAATCGTTTGTTTTTCGAACATTTTGGGACTATACTGTTGTTTGCTGTTGTCGGCACTATTTTTAATACTCTAACTATAGGTAAGTGATTCTTAAAAAAAGTATTTTTTTCTTTCGGCCTGTACAATTTTTAGATGGTAATTGGCAGAAGTGATTTCTGCAATTAAACGTTCACCAGGACTATCTTGGATAGGTGAAGATGTAATTTAGCCTTGAAAAGGAAATTTGTTACCCATAAATCACACACTGACTAATGACGTGTAATAGTGTGAGGAACTACTTAATTTTATTAGAAAAAAACAAAATTATTCTAACATACTATTACACAGTTGTTTTAGCTAATCTTTCCGCCATAATAAATTAAGTAAAATGAAAAATGAACTACAAAAAATTCTAACCTAATTGTTGTTGTTGTTTTTACATTCAGAAAAACATGAAAAACCTCATTTTAGTCATTTTTAGAAATGAAGTGAAGTTAGGTACATTTTGTGCGCACGCGCAATAACACAAACAAATACTTTCTTCCATTTGTAACAGCCAGCTTAACATCTGTTATCGGTCGTTTCAATCATACCGATACGACATCTACTGTTATTTCATACGTTATCTATTCCCTGTTAGCATAACATAACAGATTCGTGTTAACATTAACGTAAACGTTCAATCATAGGACCCCATATCGCCTCAACAGCCTCGAATAACATGCCGTTAAGTGCCCAACGTCTATGTTACCACTTTGTTTGTTTATTATTTAATTATCTAATACCTATATTGCTAATTATCTGAATTCTTAGTATATTTGAATTTGTTTTTAATTTATGATTTGTAATACTGCAAATCAAACCTTTTGAGTCAAACATTATATTTTTTCTACGGCTATTACATAATATTAAAAATTAGTCAAAATGAGAAAATGCTGTTTTGTATTGTAACCTCAGCTTCTTTCTTTAGGAATATTAATTATTATAGAGGATGGGTGATTGTCGAAATAAATAAATGATCATTGAAAATAATCGATTATTTTCGATCAATTCATTGTTTTCAATCTATTTGTTTTTCGTATTTCCTTTAAAATAAACTACATGATTATCTTTGAAAAATAAAAAATAATCGATTAATTAAAAAGCCAATTAACCGATAAATCAGTGTTTACAAAAAATTATCGATTATTTTAAATAGTCGATTATTTTCAAATAATCCATTTTTTTTTTCGTCCATTGAAACAGATTATTTGATAATCTTTGAAAAATCGAAAATAATCGATTAATTAAAAAGTCGATTAACTGATAAATCGATTTTCAAAAAAAACCGAATTGTCGATTATTTTAAATAATCGATTATTTTCGATCAATCGATTATTATCAATAATTTATTTTTATTGTATTTCATTTAAAATCGATAATTCGATTATCATTGAAGTACCGAAAATAATCGATTAATTAAGAAGCCAATTCTACGATAAATCTATTTTCCAAAAAAATAACCGAATTATCGATTATTTTCTAATAATCCTTTAAAATTGATTATTCTATTATCTTTGAAAAATCTAAAATAATCGATAAAAATCAATAAATCAAAAATAATTAATAAATATTAAAAAACTGATTAACCGATAAATCGATATTTCTAAAAAATAACCGAAATAGTGGTTATATAAAATAACGAATTATATTCGATCAATCAATTATTTTCATATAATATAATTTGAAAATAATCGATTAATCGAAAATAATCGATTAATCGAAAATAATCGATTAATTAAAACACCGATTAAATGTTGGAAAAATCGATTATTTTCAATTAATCGATTATTTTGAATAAATCTACTTTCTTTTTGTATTTCCCATAAAATCGATTATTACATTATCTTGAAATTTTAAGTTATTCATCCTGTATTTTATCTAATATTCTTATAAAAATACTACTAATCAACTATGCTTCTTTACTTCTTATTTATCTACCAAAAAGAGCTAAAAACCACCTTTAGTAAATATTCTTATAAAACTACTTCTTAAAAACAAAATTTCGTTAGCAACAATGTCTATTTACTTCTTATTTAAATTAAATATTTAAAATTTTACCCTCTTGTAAATTTATGTAAGTAGTACGAAATCTGTTTTCTGAAATGTATTTGATGAATATTTATTGAAATCCCTTAATGCGGATCTGATGTATTCAGCTCAAAGGATTATGGCGCTTTATGTCAAAACGTTAATAAATATTTACCGCTGAAAACGAATATATTTTTTATATTTCACAACACTGGTACTTGTATTATAAGTAAATACAATTTCTTAAGATACATCGTGGCATTTTGAGTTTAAAATTGAATAACTAGAACACTTTAAATTGCTAAAGCACCAACAAATAAATCAAAAACAGCTGTCAATGGTGATTGAAACTCAGGCGGAGGTGAGCGTTGAATGGGAAATCGGAGCAATTCGGGTGGCGTCGTGCAAACAATGATTTTCAATTGGTGGGTTACTTGGAGTTAAAACAGACAACATGCGCAGTGTGCAATGTTACATCTTCGGTCTCTTTTATCTAAGTTATTAACCAATGTAGCTGACGCGCATGACGTACTAATCTGTTAGAGAATTGTCTTATAGATTGAGATAGTACAGACTACAGGGACGGCTGTCGGGGTTATTCGGAAATTAGAAATGCTGAATATAATGTTGAATGTATTTCAATAATAACAATGTGACAAATATTTTATTATTAACAAAAAATGGGAACAATGTTTATAAATCACAGTTATAATTTCTAAAAATTAAATACTTGTAAATAATACACAGGATAGATAACACAGGGCAACAACAAATTTTTTTTTGTACCTGGGATTCTAGAGCTGATTTTAACTATATTTGGGACGCTAAATCTGTACATGCAATCCGTTTTTCTCTATCAGCTCTACTTTTTTCGATACATCAACTTGTCTACCAATGTGGTTTTTATTCAGTATATTCATTTATGAGAGTTCTAAAATTATTATATATTCATTAATGTAGGTACAATGTTTTTATTGTCAGTCTGTAATTGAGTAAATTCCAGATAAATCTATGAACAGTGGAACCATTGTCTATCAGGTACATGAACTGACCCTTTTAATCCCCTAACTCGGGTAAGTCTCGTCAGTTTGTGCGTTCTTACTAATGAGAGTAGATCGAATTCGGCGTGTTATTTTATGTTAAGAAAAGAGTGTTTTTGAGTTATTGAACAGAATTGAAATGAGTTCAGGTTCCAGTTCAAGAAGAAGTTGTGTAAATCAACCTGATGTGTTTTGCTATATATGCGGAGAATACATGTTTTAACAAAACAGATAAACTATTACTGACTTTGTAAAGTGTGCGTATCTTGGATATTTTCGAGTTAGCCTTGGTGATCAGGACAAAAAGTGGGCCCCGCATCTCGTATGTAAAACTTGTACGGATCATTTACGGCAGTGGACTACCGTGAAAAGAAAATGTATAAATTCGGCGTACCAATTGTTTGGAGAGAACCAAAAAACCACTTCAATGATTGTTATTTCTGTTTAGTAAATACTAAAGAAATCAATCGAAATAACCGCAGTAAGTGGACTTATCCCAATGTAGACTCGGCAATACGCCCTATCCCGTACTCAGATGAAATACCGATTCCGACATTTCATCAGCTACCAGATATCTCTGATGACGAATATTTTCCCTCTGATCGCTGTTCTGATGCTAATAAAAGTTCTAATGCTAATGAAACTAACAGTGACTATGAGGAGACGTCATCAGTTCCTCAACGCTTCAATCAAAATGAATTAAATGATCTTACCAGGGATCTCAATTTATCGAAAAAAGCTTCTGAAGTACTGGCTTCTAGGTTGAACGACAAAAATTTATTGGCACAAGGAACCATAATTACCTTTTACCATACAAGAAAAAAGTATCTGCTACCATTCTTTTCTCAAGAAGACAATCTTGTATTTTGTCACGAAATTAATGGACTCATAAAAGAAATGGGACTTTCTGAATATATTCCAGATGATTGGCGCCTATTTATTGACAGTTCAAAGCGAAGTTTAAAATGTGTCCTTCTACATAATGGGAATAAATATGGTTCAATACCACTAGCTCACTCAACTAAACTGAAAGAAGGATATAATACCGTAGCTTTGGTCTTGCAGAAAATAAAGTATCACGAACATCAATGGATGATTTGTGTAGACTTAAAAATGGTAAACTTTCTTCTTGGGCAGCAAAGTGGTTACAAGAAATATCCGTGTTTTTTGTGCCTCTGGGATAGTAGGAACAAAACACCACTGGGTTAGAAAAGATTGGCCTCAAAGAGAAAACATGGATGTTGGGGAAAAGAATGTCATTAACGACGCTTTGGTTAAAAGAGAAAAAATAATACTTCCTCCGTTACATATAAAGTTGGGCTTAATGAAACAATTTGTAAAGACAATTAATTAAGGATCCTGCCTTCATAAATTCAATGAATCAAGTTGAACGAGAAGCTTGGACATCATTTGTTGCAGTTGTAGAAAATTTTCTAGGCAAACATGAAGCTCAAAACTACGTTGAAATGGTTAACAAGATGCTTAATAGTTTCAAATCCTTAGGGTGCAATATGAGTATTAAAATACACTATTTACACAACCACTTTCCAGAAAATTTAGGAGACATGAGTGAGGAACAAAGTGAAAGATTTCACCAAGATATTAAACTTATGGAGGATCGCTACCAAGGAAGATGGGACATGCACATGATGGCAGATTACTGCTGAAGTTTAAAAAGGGACTGTTTAAAAAAACATTCAAGAATGTCGCGGAAAAGAAGCTTTTGAAGTGTTGAGTGACTATTTGATTTCTTCAATGTTTTTTTTGTTTGTAAGTACGACATAATATTGTATTTTGTATAACTAAAATAAAAATTTCGTATCTACTTTTGTTTACTACACTTACGGATTTGAGTTAAAATAATGTAACTTATATTTCTCTAAAATTGTATATCTTAAAAATTTGAGCTCCTAGGTAAAAATGAATACCTACGTTATTTGAATTCAGGACATCAAATTAATATAGAATCAGCTCAAAAAACCTCGACACC